AATTCATCTTTAATTACATTTTCATGCTCTAATTATATTGTACAAATGTGCGTGGAAGCCGTAAAAACTCTAATTACCATTTTATAATTAATAGTATTAAATTGGTTGAACAGTACTGAGTTCTGAATAAAGGGTGGGTCACATGTATAAACTGATTTACAATTTTTTTTTGCTATTTTAACAAAATATAGACATATATTCTATATGTATAAAAATGATTTACAATTTTTTTTTTGCTGTTTTAAAAGAATATAGACATATATAATTTAAAATTATAAACATGTAGAATGAAAATATACCACTATTCCACATATGAACATATAGTGTCTCGTATAATGAAAGTCTGCATACTACATTCGTTACATAAAATCTTAAAACTACTAAATTTTAAAGTATTAATATGTTTAAAACATTATTTATTTATAATTTGGATGTATGAAACTATTGTTAAGAAAAATTAACATTTGTTTTAAACTAAACTTCAATCCATCACAACATCTAAACATCGTTTAAACACTTCAAAATGCAATGCTTAAAATAATACAATAACTAAAAAAAAATACTTAAAAGTACTTCTATAAAAATGAAAAATGTAAATAAAATAATTTTTATATGAAATATTAACTAATATATATATATACTTAAAAGCAAATTAAGTTTGAATATGAATATTTCACCTTACAACTTTTAATATAAATAAAAACTAATATAAAGTAATTGTTCATAGTATTTGTAACTATATAAGGTAATAATAACCAGATGAAAAAGAAAGTATATCTGTATCCATAAAACATTTTATCTATTCGGACAAATAAATTATACACAAACGTTTGAATTGTTTCAAAACAAAAAAACAGTTATGGAATCAAAAGAGTTGGCCTAAATAAAAAACGGTACATATATATACAACTGGTTATCAACTGTAATGTGAGAATTGTATATGTGGCCTTCATGCTTTTTTCATGTTCAATGTCAATGATTTACATAAGGATTAACTATTTTTATAATACTATATACTAATTTTATTCCAGCTGCAATTTAGATATATAATTGTTCACAATTATTAAAACTTTAATCATCAAACCTAGAACTAACATCCAGATTAAACAACATATAATGTAAAAAAATATGACGCACTTAATGCATTAATAACAATAATTTGTATAAAAAAAAATTTAATGACATTTTAAACATATTTTTTTATAATTCAATATAACTTTGTATTAATTTTTAATAATATTTTAATATATATTTCGAGTTAATTAAAAAAATGTTACATTTTAGGAAAATTATTAAATCTTTTTTTTTACTCCTATAACTATTAACAATTATACTGTATAATATATTAAAAATCAAATATTTAAATAATTATTTCTTCGTGAATTATGCTGCTATGAATACATGACTAAAATTCGAAATATTTTTAACTGAAATTTTTCTATCTTAATAATACATATAATGAGAAACATAAAAACGGTCTTTTAAGATGCATACAACCATAATATTATATACTTCTCTATGTTCAAATTAAAATTTATTACCCAGTGGAAAAAAGATATACGAATAAGTGATGGGGCTATTATCATAATAGATGTAAGGTACAAATAATTAAAGTAATAAAAATATAATTAGATAAAATAATCTAATTAGAAAGATGAATATGGATTGATATATAGAAAAATGGTTCTTTTCTAAGCCGCCGTGTTGTGTGGAATACCAAGAAACTGACAACAATATCCATATGCATATAAACAAAAATAAATTCGTTATACGAGGCCTTTCAAAATAAGTTATTTAAAAGACTAACTTACATTTAGTTGCAAAAAATAGAATTTATGATGACAAAGTGCGAAATTTTGATTGCTGAGTTTGTTTAAAAGTCCAGTTTGAATTGGATCGGTTAAACTACATTTTTTTCTTGTCATTTTCTTACAATGTCAAGGATTATTGTAGCTCTCTTTCTTCAAAATAACAAATTACAAATGATTAAAATACACATTGAATAATGAAGAAAGATTTATCTAAATAAGAAAGAGAAAAATAAAACAATCATTTTAAATTAAATTAATGTATTAATTACGCAGTTTTTACTAACGCCTATAACTTTGTAAAATGGAAAACTTATGTAAAATATTTTCTTTCGAAATAGAATAGAAATTTTATAAATTTCTTCAATTTATCCCTATTAACAATCTGAAAATACTAAATATATAATTCAAAGCTACGTAAATTATCATCAATTGCCCTTATAAAACGCGGGAGAAAAAAAATCAACGTTTTTTTCCAGAATCAAATGGGAAAAGAAAAGAGATTGGGAATGACGTGAGAAAGTGCCAATTCAAGAATGAACAACGTCTGCTTGCCTACTAGCGTACACGAAGTACGTTGGCCGATACTATTACAAAATTAAAATATTTTGTATACACCCTTTAACTTTGTTTATAATTATATAATCATCGAAAATAAAAATGGTTTCTTCAGTAAAATTTTTTTTTTTAATTGTTTAATTTTCTAGTCGAAATGTATTATTACAGTTTGCATATGTATAGTGCAAATATTTGTAAATGAATGAAATTTCTAAAAATATAGGAAAAATAGAATTATTTCAAAATATATACGGTCATGTTACGATGACTTATCAAATAAATATTTATCTTTTACCACTGCAATGAATTTATTCAATTTATATAAAGAAATAACTAGAGTTATAACATTTTGTGTAATTACAAATTAATCAACTTCGATCTATCTATTATTTTGTCCTTTTATACAGTTAAACAACCATTACATTTAAAAATAAGAAAAATTATTTGAAAAGGATAAATACATACTACGTTCTTATCTGCGAGCAGTTGGAATAATCAAAATCTGTTCGTGCTGCAAAACCTTTTATATAAACATTTTTAATTGATCCGATATGAAAACAGAAAATAATATTTGATATATTAAAATGAATTTTTCTTCAACTACATAAATAATACCATATATGCGTTGTTCACGTATTATGTTGTGATTGAAAAAAAAAGTATTAATAAATATATTTGTAATAAATATATAATGTTTTGTATTTAAGCAATATTTATAATATATATATATTATAATATATTCAAATCATGAAATAATTTTCATTATTATATGATAGTAAAAATTCTATTTAAAATTTTGCGAATCGACCTTTATTATTGAGATGCAACATTCAACGTATAATTCACGCTACATGTGAAAAAATCGCGGTCGCAAATGTATTCATTCTCAAACAAAGAAAAGTCAGGCCGCAATGTCACGTGCGTAATCTAAGACCGATAAGAGAAAGACTGTCCTAACAAAAGGAAAACCTCTTCACCGATATTTTGTACGTGCATCGCAAAATCTACAATCGTGTTGAGTCGTAACTTGGGGCAAAAGAAAACATTTGACGAACGACACGGACAAGCAAATTTAAGCAGTTTTTACATTTAGAAGATTATGTTGAAAATTTTTAAAAATCTTTATTGATTTCCATCAATTCCTTTCGATATAAAAATAAAAATAAATAAAAGAAAGAATAAAAGAAAAAAGAAAACAGTTATATAGAAGAACGTGAAATAAAAATTTACATTTTATTTTTATCAATTTTTATACGCACGAAATTTATGTTTACACATAAAATTAGTAGACAATAAAAAAAAATTGTTCAATTCATGTTGTAGGTAAATTAAAATTATCAATTTAAATTTAAATGCAATATCAATGATAAAGTAAATCACAAACATGTTATATATAATTTCATGTAATCAAGAAGCTATATTTCGAGCACTTATCTTATGATTTATTCAAAAAATTAAGATAAAGTTAAAACTTAGTTGAAACTTAGTTAAAATTATATTTATCTTAAATAATCTATATATATATATATATATAAATATATATATATATGCTTCGAATTTATTAACATAGAAAGAATACAAATTACTTTTCTACTTTTGGGGCATTTCAATTTAATTTTACAATAACAATATATTTGTGCTCCAAGTAATCTACAAATATAAAAATTATAATATTAACATTTATAATTCAAATTAATATTAGAAGGAAGCGTATTAAATAGAAGCAGACATTATGACTATAATTTTACATAAAAATAAAATGATGTGGAAAACAAAGTTTACTATCGCGATTCATATGCATCGCAATAATCTTTTTATTTATTCAATTTGTTAAGTTTTGAATTTTTATAATTTTTTCTTTCAACGTGCGAACATTTTAAAATTTATTTAAACAATAAAAATGTGTGCGTAAAAAGTATTTTATGGAAAATAACATAATCAATAATTGAGCAGCTTTCAAAATATTAATATATACATTTTCGGAGAAACATTTTAAGGCGACTTCATTATCTCGGCTACCTCGATGTATGTTATAATATTCAATGATCAAATAACATGCATTATATTAAAAAACTTAAAATATCAAATTTTGCAGGTTGTATTAATATATTATTGCATGAAACAAACACATATATACGCCCATGCATGGAAACTCGCCTAACCGCATACATATGTGTATACGCTTTCGAGTTACATGCGCATATGCATGCACATATGTATGCGTCTAGGCACGTATGCATTTACTAATTTAATGAAAAAAGTTTTAACGATCTGTGATTTAATAAATGAAAGTCTAATAAATTTGTAGATGGAAATTGAAATGATGCTCCTTTCACCAAGAAAGATGTTTCGACACAATATTTTTGAATGTAAACAAAAACCTCCAGACAAAGCAAGTATCGTAATACCTGAAGTAAAAAGAAAGGCAGAAAGGCAGAGCTTAAGGCGGCAAGGCCTAATAAAACGTATCTCAATCGTCAGCAGTAAACCGGATAAGAAAACAAAGTAGTGTAGCCTCTATGAAAATATTTTTATAGAAAGTACGGCAAATTTATGGGGAATTAATGACAAGCTGGTGAATGCTTTCAAGAGGTAAACAATAAGGCGGCGGCGACGGTCGCGGCGGCGGCGTACCTTAATGGTTACATTCGGGTTGTTGATATGCTGCGGCGTCGAAGAAGCAGTCGTCGAATCGGCAATCGGGGCGGGAGTAGTCGATACATCTCTCTGTTTGCGACCTAGTATCGAGCCGTCGTCGTGCCAATTCCTGTCGATGACAAGGGGTCCGTGATCCCGGCTAAGCCCCTCCTCCACGTTCACATGAAGTGTTCTGGATCTGACGCCGAAACGTTCTGCCCCGCACAACGTAATCAGCATGAGGAGGGCGCACCCCGATGCCAAGGATTTGCAGCTCCGGGTGGCTGGATACCCTGCTGAAGCGGCCATTTTGTGCGGACTGCGATACTCGGGTACTCGTACTCGTCCGGCTCTCGTATATTATCGCCGTTATTATAGGGGCGCGCGCCACGGCGCCGATCGGCTTTTTCAGATGCGCGACGCAAGTCGGCCCTCGCACTTACACGGGGCAGCCGATCTTGCAACTCAAGCAAACGAGATAGACGGGACAAAACAAGAGAAAACAGACGCGCACGCTCCTGCACGCGTCACAACAACGAGAGGACAATGACGCGGAGCGACGCGCTCAAACGCTGGTGATTCGGTCTCTGTGGCCTCGACAATCACAGACGCCACTCCGAACTCCAAAGTCCGAGTCTCTGACTCGCCGCTCAAGCAGCGCCTAAAAACTTTCCGAGGAAGTGTTGACGTTATTAAGGCATTTGAGCCCTGCGCATGCGCCCCTCCCATACCCCCATTTTCATTTGCCTACTTACAGAGTGGCGCTCGTTATGATCCCGACACAATTCAACTTCCCCAAGCCTAATTGTCGAGCAACATTATAAAATTAATACATTTTTACCCCCATTCACGTTTCGTAGTCATTGGCATTGTTTACAAAATGCATTTATATATAAAAATCAATTTTTAATTAATTTTATTTTATTAGAAACTATAGCGAAAGACAAATGCATGACTATACATAATAATAACCTAATAGAATAAAATAAAATTTTACTACATAAGGTTAGAAAACTTTTCCTTTTTTGTAAAAGGCGACAAGAGACAATAAAATCTACAATAATAGCTTAGCAATTACTTAATTTATTGCATTATAAATTGTTATGTAAACTTTTGTTTCTGTAATTAAACATAAAAATTACTAAAAAGCCTCATAGTTTTCATTTAATATTACGTAATCTTACCTTATTAATGAAACAATATGTACATTTTTTTTCTGTATCCAAAACAAATAAACTATTAACAAGAATTTATCACCAAATTTTACATTTAGAATATTTATATTTAATTTAAAAATATATTTTTTTTTTAAAGTATTTGTTAATCTCTTAATATATTCGTATCATAAAATACGAGATAAATAAAAAAACTTTCTTTATTTTATTTATTTTATCTATAAGTAATAATATGTGTATGATTTTTAAAAAACTCAATAAATAATGCGTTCAAATTTTATAAATTTTGTTTATTACAACGGATTTATCATTATTTTAATATTTTTACGAAAACTTTTATGACGAATTTGTATAATAAATATTTGAATCTAATTAAATTTATGAATTTATGGACAAACAATTATTATAGGTTATCATTCTATTATAAACAAATTTTTATCTGTAATTAAGTATTCTTATATTAAATTAAAAATAAGTTTTTTTTAATAAATTTGAGAAATATTTGTCAAGTATTTATGTACAATCAACATTACTGAAAATTTTGATATATTCAATACTAAATACCTAAATTATAGTAAAATCTAAAAAAAATTAAATACACTATAACATACTATTTATATTAAAAACATTTTTAAAATATGTAATTTATATAGTACATATTGCAATATTTTGCGATGTATATTTAAAGATGATTAACAAATTAAAAATAAGAATATTATGTATTATTATATAAAATTTAAAACAATATATCATATTCCCAAATATAATATAAAATAAAAAGATTTATATAAGCGAAAATGGAATAATGTAATTGTAATAGAAATTTTATAAAATTAATAATAACTATTTATGGTTTCTGATTTAAAAAATTTAAATTAATATTGTATCTAATATCAAATTAAAAAATATGATTGTATCAAAAAATGATATATCTCAAATATCTCATTTTATTACTAACTATAAAGAAAATTTATGAACTTTTTAAAATTAAAAATGACAAAACAATGATAATTGTTCCAACAACGATTTATTATAGTAGTATGTCGCATTTGATTTTTTTACTTATGACAGCTATTTTTCGTACAAGAAAATCTAGTCTCCGCAATTTTTAATCTTAACAGATTGAGACTAGATTTGTAATATATTAAGTTCAAGGTTGAAAATTTTCATTCCTTGGCAGTTTTTCTCTCTTATTTTCTTAATTCAATAACTTTTTTTATGTATTCCTTGTTTCGATGAGTCACAATAATAGCAAGCGGAACATTTAAAACATTTCCTTTTTAAATTGCAGACGAGTTGAGTATTTTAAACTTAAAAATACGCATCGCATTCATTAATATTTATGATTTTATCTATGTTGATTTATGCACTGATATTTTTAAATATGATAAAATTTGAAATTTGAATTTTCTTTTATTATCAAGTTTAGTTTTTTGATCAGGGAAAATTACTACTATATATTCATTCTGAAAAACTGACCGAGAGTTTTTACAATGTACAAAATGTTTATAGAAAATAAAAGAATTATATAAAGGATTATTTTTAATTCATATATTCTTATTATAAAATGTTTAATATATTTTTAAAAAATTGTATGCGACAGAACAATTAAAAGTAATAGAAAAGCATAGCAATTATAATTTGCTTTTATTTATATTTCTTTTAAGCAATGCAACTTTTAGACTTAATTATATATACAGGTATACATATTTTTCAATATATATATATGTATATGTATATATATAATATAGATCTGCGCAAATAATGCAGATGAAGTCATTTAAAACAAAGAATGTATATAACATATTTCTACTTTTACTGTCTCTCAAAAACATTCTTGTGCAACAAAGATTCACATATATCTTCTGTACAACTCTCATAATACAAGAATCCTAATATTTTTCATTTTTACTTTCTCTAATTAACTTCATTCTGAATAACATATGACTTGAGGTAAAGTTAAGCAATGCTTGATTCTCTCCGTTAAGTTTTACAAAGATACAACATAATATCACTATACATAATACGTTTGAAAGTCAAGACATTTTTATTTTCATAACATATGAAGAAACAACATTATAATCCAGCTAAAGTGTTACTTTTAATTATTGAAAGTAAATTACTTGAAAATAATTCATTCTAAAATTTTTTAATTTTTAGGAAAAAGAAACATGTATTTCTCAAATATACTACACGGTTCGACTTGACGAGGATCCACACAATTCACATTACTTATTTAAGTATATAAAATTTTTGCAAATTCGTCAAATCCATTTTATATGTGTATAAAAGTATATACACACATATTTGCTATTTACTTATCTTTATGTGTATGTAATTTATATTATTGAATTGGATTTATTTAGGAGAAACCTCAATTTTCACTAATCATTACAGACAATTTTTCATCTTTTCAGAATGATTAAATATTTTTACTCTCTTTCTCTTTCTTTACTTAAGTCTTTCCTTAATCACTCTTCCTTTTAAGACAACGTAACAACCGGTAAAAGCTATATCTCACATTATCCCAAGTTAGCGCAGCTAAGGTTATAATAAAAAATACTTATGGCAGTCAATGATTGCCGACGTAAGTGTAAATGACGAAGACACACATATATATATATAAAATTTCTTATCAGGCAGTGCATATAATATAAAGAATCTTTTTAAGCAATGATTTTAAAAACATAAAAGAACTACAGAATTTCTTTCCATACAAACTTTTTGTCTCTGCGCATCGCCTTCAATTTTACATAGTTTATCTCTTACTAAAAATAAATATATACTGATTATCACTTATTAATTTTTTTATAAAATTATTAGCAAGTTATAACAGTATAATTTCATTCATTTCGAAAGAAAATTATTCATAAAATTAACTCTCAACGTACTTCATTAAAAATAAAACTGGTGTAAAAAGTCCTTGAAAACTTAATATCTTTCACTATTTTTAAATGGTAAAAAATTCGTTCACACGGGCTTTATCATTCATTCATGCTCTTGAGAATATTATTTTAAATGATATTATATCCGGATATAATTGTAAATAAATTGGTACATCTCTTTCGTTATTTGTATCGTTTGATAAATAATATAATATAACGTAATAATAGAATAATAGTAATAATAATATTAATATTAATAATAATAATAATAATAATAATAATAATAATAATAGTAATAATAATAATAATGATGTTGATGATGATGATGATAATGATAAGTTAGTCAAAAAAATTGAAAGTGATACAACAGACAATCCATCCTTAATCTACTACTTTGTAGTACTTTTGGTGCGTAAAGTTCATGCATCGTCATGAGTCATTGTAGTACATACAATACATAATATTTATGTTTGTTTTTTATATACGCCGACGATATTAAAGGGATAGATAAAAGTGAATACGATGAAGTTTGAAGGCATATTATTTCTCAGTAGAAAATCGCACTAACTTGGGATATTATTAATTTTTTTTTTATTTTAAACATTATATCTTTATTTTTATTTTCTCTACTTTAGCGATAACTTTGCGCAAAATGACCCCTACAAAATCGTATTTCAATGAATATTTTTTCTCTAATAAAATTACGTTTACTATCGCCTTCGTTCAAAGGTGGACAGTTTTATCTTTCACCTTCATTTAATTATTAATGTTGCTTTATCCAAGTAGGGCGACGAAATATTTTTTCTTCTTTTGTTTTTGAAGTTTCATGTATATATTTATGTCTATTTTTATATGAATATGTTTTTATGCAGATTTCTGTTCACGTAGTCTCATAATGCAACTAAATTATTTCTTTCATCAATCTTTTACTCCAATTTAGCTGAAAAACAAAATATGTATATTATTATGATTATAATTTTGTTAAATTACATTGCTTTGAAAAATATACTAATCAATTTTTAAAAAATCACCAAAATATTAAATGTATATTGCATAATACATTAATATCTTATTACCAAAAAGGAAATTTATATATATATAATACTGTAAGCATTTTATGATATATTATTTATATATTATAATATTTAATAGTCATATGTTATTTGATATTATAATGTCTACATAATGGGTTACACCAATTTTAAACACATTTCAATTATAAAAAACAGAAACCAATAATTTAAAAAAAAATTTAAATTAATCTTTCTAAAAATGTTTAAAGGGGAATGCTACTTTTTTCTATTTTTAAAAATGTTAGTATGGAAAATAATTATATAAAAATAAACTATCCGTTCATTACACAAACAAAATTATAATTTCCATTTTATTAAGTATAAAAGAAAATTCAAAATTCAATAGCATTTTACATAATAAATTTCTAAATCTAGGATATGTTAAATAATATTATAAATTATAATATCTAATAATACTACTATCAAAAAATGATTTTGTATTTTAAAATTACAATATATTTTGATATTATAAATTTATATTGGCACAAATCACTAATACTTCAGTATTTTACTTTAATTTATATAAGAAAATTATTTTTGTATAAGCAAAGAATTAAAATTAAAAGACTTGAAAAGGTAAATAATGTGACAATTGGAGAGCTAAATTCTTATAAATATATACTTGCGTATTTTATTTGTTTTTTAAGCACCATTAAAAATATGTGGTATAAATTAATTGAATAATTATAAAAAACTATTTTGAAGATTTATCTAATTGCTTTAAAAAATTAATCATTTCTGATTTAATTGTAACATATAAATGAATATTTTAAGTATTGAATAAGTTTTAATTACGCATACAATATACAATAATTAATTGGCAGCAAAAGCATTTTGAGGAGAAAATGGAGTTGATGCGACAAAAAGCAATGAAAACATAAAATGAATGATATCCTAATGTTTTACTAACAGTGATACAACACAGATATTCAATAATAATGTTAACAATTTGCTGAAAACAATTATCATAATAAAATTTTTTTTTTAACTACTGAATTAAATTCAACTAAATATAACAAGCGATTTTATGTGAGTCCGTCGGATATTAATTGATAAATGGACAGTATTGTGATGTTTCATACAATATACATTTAAATATATTATAAAAGTATTTATTTATTTTTATTTATTCTCATACTTAAGAATAATTATGGCAATTTTGTTAATAATTCATGTTTATAAGTCTTAATATCTTAATATAAATAATTCTTATAGACATTTATATTATACTTGATGAATTAAACCTTAAATTTGAATGTCTTAATTAAATTGATTGCTTTCTTAAATCGATTACATTCTGCTTGAAATAAAATTAAATGCACAAATTTAAAAAATATTTTGTAAACAACAAATATGTTTTATGTAATATAGTTTTCCATATTAATAAATAATTTATCTATTACATTTTTTGATAATCATATGAATCACCAAACATTATAATTGCTTTATGAACTCACTATAGTATGTCATTCCGCATTCACAATTGGAAGAACATTCCTAAAACGTTTATTTCAAATAAAACAAAGCTAATGAAATAAAAAAAATAATATTCATAGTAACAAAACGATACTACAGTAATTATTTTACTATTATGTATTGTATTATATAAGTAATTAATATTTTCATTAAAAATGATTAAAACAAAGTTATAAATAATAAGTAATACAGAACATTTTAATATTCTTCGATCATTATTCATTTTCATCAATTTATTATATTTATAAGAAAGCTTATTAATAATTTGATATTTTGTAAGCACATTGTGATTTTAATTAATAAATGTATCTTTATCGTAAATATTTTTCATGAAAGATTTGTATAGAAATATATTTAAAAGAACAAATTAGAAATAATACATTAAAAAGGGCATTTTATTTTCAACTTATTCAATATAATTTACTACATAAAATAATAATATGTAAAAACATAGTATCTTTTTATTAAAAAATAATAAATAAGTTATATGTTACTAACAGAATAACCTAGCTACGATTGCTTAATCGTGCAGTATTACAACGGTAATTTGTTGATAGTATGGTGCGACGGACTCACCGCATTTCTAAATGTTGTTCCAATTGTGTGATACTCTTTTTCTTATTGATCATTGGCTATCGCTTTCTACTTTTTGGCTTTTCTAAAATATGATAAATGTGAATATGATCGGATGAAGTTGCGGTGTGCCCTGTTTATATTTTGATTTATTTATTGTTTTACAATAATCTTTTATACTCCATGTTCTACAAATGTATGATGAAAGCTAAACATAATATGAGCAAGATGGATATGGAAATGTATTGTCGTTGCGACATTTTATAGTGTCAATGACAATAAGATAAAATATAAAACTTATAAATGATTCAAGCAATTAAAAAATTAGCTATATCAAATTCTATTTCTAATATTTCATTCATACAATAAATGAGAATATATACATTAAGATTTATCCTTTTATCTTTTTATTACCTTCTATTATAATAGTTTATTAAATGCCATATACATAACTATATACTATAAAAATGTTATGATTATTTATTGTAATTGCATTAAAAATTAAAAATCAAAATTATATTTTCCATAGAAATGATACAATTTTTTTATTTTAATTAAGAATCCGAAACTTAGATAATTCAATTTGATTTTATAAACTTTATTTATTTTTATAATAAATATGAATGAAATAATACTTTAATAAACGGTGGCTTAAATTTAATAATTCACAAAAACTATATTTAGAAATATATTTAGAAATATATTTATAAAAAACATAGTCGATACATCTATTTAATCAATTATAAATTTTTGAATGAAAATTTTTATAAATAATTACTTCATTTATATAGAATTGGTCATGTGTACAAATTATAAATAAAAGCAATTTATTAACGTGGTTTGTTAATAAATAATCCGAAAACTCAATATGCACATATAAGGTTATAATCAACATTTTTGCAAAAAAATATTACACCACATTTGACAAAAGAAATGCCCGCTATATTCATGAAATTTAAACGTTACTTAAAGCAGAAATGCAGTTAGACTCGTCCTCTCGTTTAATTATCTCTGCAATCGCATACTATAAGGATATATGTGCGTACGCGTGAATGTGTGTATTGGGAGTAAGGAAGAAAAGAAACGATGAAACAAAACTAAACGAAACTCACTTTTTCTTAAGAGTAAAAAAGCTGCGTCGCTTGGTCTCGGCTTGAGTAGGTGCAGGTAGTGTATGTGCCCTTGATGTACTGGCTACGGAGGCGCCCTGAGCCGCCTGATTCAGCACCGAGACCCAATCATTCATCTCGGCATCATCTTTGGCCTGGAATAAGAAATCGGCTCCGCTTTGCGTTCTAAAAGATAAGTGAAGTAAATTAATTTGCAGACGTTTTATATTTTAATTTAAAATAATCATATTTTTTAATTTAATAAATAAATAGTTTTTCATTAATTACAATGGTGCAAAGTGCTAAAAGTATTATTAAAAATAGTAAATATTTGAATATTTGCAATTAATAATAAAATATTTTCAGTGTATAAAGAAATACAATGCTGGACTTATAAGGTGAAACTAATGATTTAAATAAACCAATTTTAATTATTTACAATATCAATAAAAGTAGAATTAATTAGTTTAACTTTAAATATTTTAAATCAGCAATAAATGGACAATTAAAATAATACTTACTTAACACGGAAGACATGTTTCTTCTTGGTGTAGTCGCTAGCAATGACAATGATGGCACCCTTCAAGTCAAGCGGCATTTCACCTTTGTACAACTGATCAGGAACTGATTTATACGACTTCTGATCCTTGTAAGCTACGAGTGTTTGACTCCTTACGACCATGTAAAGTTTATCCCAGGATCGATTGGACGCTTTTTTAGTTGTACTCTCCCATTCGTGTTTACGTGCCAAAACACCTTCGAATTCATCATCACTCGGACTTCGTGCTTCTGTTATTAAGAAATGCAAACATAAAATCTCACATACCTTTTATACAATTAAGAAAACAAACAAATAAAGCAAGATCTAATAAATGCACTAGCTCTAACATTTAAGTTTGTAAATTACATTTACATTAAATATTAAATATATGATGACAAATGTTTAATGATAATTATTATTATTTATTAATATTTAATGATTAATTATTTAATGGAAGGACTCGAAGGCAATGGATCGTCTAAAGCAGCAATTTATTAATTATAAATAAACCTGGAAATAAAAATGATTTATTATATATTTATGATAACTTTATGTAATTTATGTACTGTATAGATAACCTAACTGGTCAAGTAAATATATTGTTTGTTTTTCGCTACAAATTAGATATTTATTTTTACAATATCTAGTTTTATTTTTTATTATTATTTAAAATATATTTTTTGTATGAAATTACGAATTTATAATTATTTTGCAATTTTTAGGTAAAACTATGTTGAATCGAATAATGTGTGTGTATTAATTTCAAATAAAAATATCTCCCAAATAATAAGTATATTGATATTTCTCAAAAATAATTTTAGCACAATTTAAAAATTTTTCCTTCGATTGCAAAAGCTGCCATTTTAGCTGTATATGATTTTGATAATTCTATAATATTAATTGCTCGGTATTAATAAAAATAAAATTAAGACAAAGAATCCAATTGGAAATTTGTACTATTACTTTAAAAAAATTTAATCATATCTTAATAAGTTATTTTTATACAAATATTTGTATTGAATAAAGTAATGGATTTTAAAATGAAAAAACTAATACTAATTCCATAACAAACTATAACGATAAAAATGATACTAAAACAATTGTTTTTGTATGTTTTATTATTGGCTCTTTTATAAACAAAAAAAATTGCTTAAAACTAAAAATATGTAAAAATATAAATAAATGTATTATTCTACATTATTTATTACCGTATCAACAACTTTTTGCACTCACAACATACGTATCGCTGAAATAAAAATATAAAATATAAATTAGTTTGATGTGAACGTCCTTGAAATTCGATATCACCAATAGATTGACAACCAGTTTCTGAACTCGCTGCCTGCAATGTTTTACACGACTGCGTAAGGTCGACTAATCGTATGGCTTACCATATTCGTCGTCGCTTGCACCACTGCGATCAAGACTTGGTGATTTAGCGGTTTTCTTCCAGCGGAAGCTTCTGAAAGGTGACTTGCTGCGACTTCGGTCCTTGCGCCTTAATGTACCCGATTCTGAGCCTCCCTTCGGCACTGGATCATCGCAACAAAAACGACAACACAACGAGCAAAGAAAAAAAGACCATTTTTACTTAGTACCAGTGTCTGTTTATAAATTCTTATCATTATTTGAGTACAATTGTTTTTAATTTTTTTTTATAATATTTCTTATTATCTTATTTACTGAATTTTGCTTGCTGTTTTATCGATATTCTTATTTCTTGCAATATGAATTCAATAATGAAGTCGATCAACTCTACATACAACTTCTTTTTTAACGCGTTACAATTATTTTATTTATTTGAATTAAAAAAAGTTTAAAAAAATAAAATAATATATAGAATTGCTTAAGTATAATGACGATCGAAAATATATATTGTTCTGTTTATCAGAATTCGTTCTTTTGATCTCTGATATAGCAAATTCATTTAATAACATTTAGCAAATGCGTATTACTATTATCATTAATAAAATTTTGTATGCAAAATTATATCTGAACATCAATATTTTAAACTTAACTAATTTCAGCTTATATACAATTATAATAAAATAATATAAATTACGATATTCGATAAAACAGAATACATTCAATTTTGCTATTTTCTTGATCAATTTTATATTTTCTCTTTTTCTCTCTTGATTCGATATAGCGTGTAGTCTTTTTTCCAATTCATGAAAAATAGTAACAAATACTTCCAGTTCAAAGATCTCTACAATATACGTGCAAACATGCGCATGCATCTTATATTATACTCCTACAGTAGACACATTTTTTAATCAAAACCAGCTGAAAATAGTATCGCAATCATTATACTATTTTAAACTGCAGTCGAATAAATACTTTTTCTAATTGGAGCTTCTAAAATTGATAAATATAGACAGATACAAATAATTAAAATTTCATTTAGTAAAAAAAATATTCTAGATTTGTTTTTTGTTATGTAAGTAAATTTATTTGATTTGATTTATTTAATAATATATACTTAATTATTAATAAATTTATTAATAATATAAATACATCTCTATAACAAAAATTAAGTTTATTCTTAAAAATGACCCTATTTCTATTGTATAAATTCACCCGATAAATATCGTAAAAAAAATTATTTGAATATATAAAATAAATTTGAGTATAATTTATAAATTATAATGTGTATTTATATTGTTTACTTAGTTGCAATCTAAAATACTTAATATTATAATATTATAGATTTTCGATTACAACTAATTAAACTTTCATTAACATTAAAACATCTTTATGAATAAACAGTACTTTACTATTGTTTAAATATATTAATTAAAATAGAAAAGTTAATGAAATTTGTGATCTATCTATTAATTTTAAATTATGTCGGTTATTAATTTTTAATTATCAAAATGAATGATGAAATTGATTCAATACATTACGATATAATTCAATATTTTTTAATTATTAAAAATATTATTATACATAAATTACTTGTATAAGTCTGCAGCTGTTATAAAATGATCTTCAATATATTCTTTTTCTTAAATTAACTTTAAATTTCGCTGATATTACAATGATTTGTTTAATATTGCCACAAATCTCAGAAGGATTACAAGAAGTATGGAACACTCGAATTTCCTTCTACTTGTTTGTCTCGTTTATCACGTCGCGCTATCAATTTTAATTTAGCTATAGAATAAATTTTTTCTAAACTGAAATTAAAAATAATAATGTAATTTACTTTTAAATTGACAATAAAAAAAAATACTTGTATGAGGCAGTTTTAGATATTCAACTTAAAATTTTGGATCTTGCCAAGTTTATTATGTGCAGAATTCATGCTAAATATATATATATTTTTTAATTTCGTTTTAAAAATTTATATTTTAATAAAATACATACCAAGTAATTGGATAATTTTTATGTTCATTTACATTTTTATTTTAAATTAAAATGTCTACTTTCACGATAAAAATGTATATTTCCTTTAAATATTATTCGTCTGTAAACCTTATTATGTATGTGTCTTGTAAATGTATCATCAAAGTATTTTTTCTGTTAATAATTTCATAAATATTTACAAAATAAATATAAAACATTATATTTTTCTTTCAGAGAAATAGAAGTATTAGCAAGAAGAGAATATAATGTAGCTTTATTTCAAAGGGATAATATAGGCTGGGAAATTCTCGTCATTTTATACCTTTGACAATAACCATTAGCAATTTAGTTTTACAATCTCTATTTATAGTATGTGTAGATATCGTTAAAAATTTATGTATCAATTAAAATGACAAATTAGTTTATACAAAAATGAATTTAATATGATTTTTTGGCATTTTTTAAAAAATTTTTCGAATAATATTTTATGATACTTGCTCGACTTCCCCTTTTAAATTTAAAGTCTAATGTAAGTTTAATATAAATGTCAATTAATATAATAATCTAAATACGATATTAAAAAATTTCAATATAAATTGTACTAAAATAATTAGTCTTTTTAAAATTATGTTCATATAATTAATCTTCGATTAAAATAAAATAAATTGAAAAAAATAATTTATCATGGTTATTAAATGTTATTAAATGATATCATCATAATAATAAAATTACTTTCAGAAATAAATAAAAAAATGATCATAAATATAAAAATTAATATTTTACAAACCAATAAAAATAAATTTTATACAATGTTTAGAATGTCGAAAAAATTTTAAAAATAAAAAGCTGTTATAGAAATAATTATAAAAGATTTAATATTTTCACAAAAGAGAATGTTGTGGTATTATTAAATAAAGGAAGTTATAATAATTTTTTATAATAAAATACCTTTTTCATTTATAACATATTTTTTCTATATTTTATCCCACATTTTATCACATATGAGTGATATTAAAAAATTAATGAAACTAAAACAGCATTTCAACTTACACTTACTTGTAAGAATGGGAGGCGTAGTTCGATGTTTCGAAGAGGATGGTGATCGTATTATGGGTTTCTCAGTCAAGACTTGTCTCGATTCGCTCTTTTGAGCATGCACTACTCCACACCAAATTGATAGAAAAAACATGCTTTTGTTTTATTTACGTATGATTAAATTCCTTGTGTACAAAAATTATATTTAAGCGTTAGAAGAAAAAAACTTGGATGGCTAAATAGAAAAGTTGCTTTAGATGAAAATTCCAACAATAACTTATTAAAATACTTGAAAATATCTATTAATGTAACATAATCTCATCTTTGAATGAAATGATATGTATAATTTATGCAAATTATAACAAGACCTTTAAGAAAAAAACGTAAAATAATATGTTAAACTGATGTTCACAAGAAATTTAAAATAAATTAATAAGTAAATTAAACTTCGGGTATAGAACTTTACAATACTTTTCTTAAAATTACTTTATAATACATTAATAAATACATGAAGAAACACATAGTATGAAATATTATAAAAGCTAAAAACATTAATAATTTATAGGCAAGCAATTGAAAAAATAAATAAATAAATAAAATAAATGAAAAATTTAACTAACAATAAATAGAAAATACTACAGAGTATTAGTTCAAGTACCTACCATGTGCGAAGAAATTTAATTTAATCTGAAATCTATGACTACAAAAGCTTATTAGTAATTAAAATGTTAAACGAAAAATCTGAAAATGTATGTGATTTATTTGACATAATAAGTATTGAGATAATATTCCTATGAAGTGCTCGTCCATCACCTATTTTTAATAGTGACATTGTGAAAAGTATACATGTGTTATAAACCAATACCAACGGCTTCACGATGATTATTATATTAAAAATAATAAAATATAAACTGAAAATAGAAAAATTTAAAAACTGATATACTTGCTTCGACGTTCCATCACCTGAACGTAATATACAACCAAAAACAATGATACAATAAATATTATTAGTAAAGTTAGAGGGAAAAAACTAAATAGTTATTTATAGCCAGCCAAACAAATATAAAAATATATTTAGAATATCGCTTTCGTATACTATTTTCGAATACTATTTTATGTATTCTTTTCAGTTCAAATTTCGGCTACACATAACAATAGATTTTTTTCCAATTATAAATAAAAAATGAATATAATAAAAATAATAGTTGATAGATATGAAATGACAAAAGACATTCAACAATAGACTAAATGTAATATGGATTTATTAAACAACGGCAACGGGCAGACACTCACCTTCCTTGGGCTTTTCTTGAGCTTGCGAAGTTCGCGCAGAAGTTTTACGTTGTGCCGCTGTGGTTTGTGCATTCCGTGCCGCGTTATTTTTTGAGGTGCAATTTTATTTTGAGGATTGTTTTTTGTTAGGAATTATAGGATGGAAATATATTGATAAGGTGGATAAAACAGAGGTAAAAAGAAACGTGCTGTTAGCAAGAATCATGCTTTGTTCATAATTAATTACACCACTTCTTATCAAACTAGAAGGTTAGTTTTTACTGAATTATAGATAACAAGAAATTCAACATTTTTTTACAAGAGATAAGAGAATGAACCTTCTAATTTCATATTTAAAAATTTATTTTGTAATTTTATTCGTTTTCTTTAATTAAAACAATTTAAAATTTCTTAAAATTGTCAATTACTTTTAAATAATTGTAAATTTAAGCTTGAAAAAATTACTCCTTATTAAAATTAATTTTAATACTTCTAAACAGATTTTACGAATTCTTAAAAAACGGTAGAAACGAATTTTTTAAACTAAATGCACAATAAAACTATTAATATGTGCTGTACTCTGCAAGGTAATTAATTTATTTTTCATTTTACGGACATTGCTTCGAAATTTTAAGATAATAATTATGTTAAATTAACATCATTATACAACTTACCATGATCATCGTCGCGATCTCTGCTTGGAACACCATCGGCTTCCATTCTAAAATGATAAAGACAACATATTTTTAATATTGAATTACATCTTAATTATGTAAATTTCAAAAATATTATCTATCTTAAATAACAATTGAGACAAATTTGAATTATTTCATAAAGTAATAAATTTTAAATGCACTATTAGTAATAAAATATGGATAGTGATTTTGTAAAAAGACAACCATAATAATGATTAAGAAGTTCTTTGTTAGAATTATATTTGTATAAATTATATTACCGTTCACCGGACGGTTCATCTGGACTAGCAACTGGAGTGGCTTTAGCCAATCTGGCAGCTTCGGCAGCTGCTGCTTCCTCTTTCTTCCGTCTTTCCTCTTCTTCCCTCTCCTGCTCTCTTCTTTTTAATTCTCTCAGTTCAAACTACAAATGAAAGTTATATTATAATGCATTTAATATAATGACGATAAACAAATAATATTTATTGGTGATTTAGTATGTACCGTTGTTAGACGTTGTAAAGCACTGAATCTTTCTTCTTGTGCAGCAGCCGATTTTTCAAAGGCTTCATGCTTCTTCATTAGATTTTCAACTTCATCAATTGTGTGCTATAAAAAATATTTTAACTTATATATACCTTCAAAAATTAGATTATATATCCATTCTTAAGATTAATTTTTGTGTGTGCAACAGAATTAAGTTTATAATGGAATATTAAATTGTAGTATGTAAAGACTTCTTACTCCAAGTTCTTGACTCATAAGGTACGGTTCTTGAGCAATCAGCCAAGCTTCTGCAACAGCAGCATCTCTTGCGAATTGATATACTTCCAATACTGTGATAAAAGAAAATAGTTTATTTATACTTATATTTTAAATGCTTTTTTGTAATGAGAAAATTTTATACATAACATTAAAAATAAGACTCACTAAGCTGAAGATTCTCCCAACGTTCTTCCCAGCGAAGTAATAGAGCATTTCTGTGATCCGTAAGAGCTGTAAGTTTTTCTTTAATTTGTGAACTAGCATAATGATTTCTAGCCAATAAATCCTTGCCTAAGTTAATGCAACTTAAAAGATTATCCTCTCTTGTATCAATCTCAGCCTTCAGACTCTGATGATTATTCATTAACAATTCCACTCCACTAACATCCCTTGGTTTTTCACTAGTATTCATTTGCCTAACAACATCATCCATCCAAATCATTAATGTTCTAACCATATTGAAGAATCTGAATAAATCCCCGGTATCCTCTATAATAAAAATAAAATTTCATTTATAATTTGTTGCATTAATGTTTACTAGATTAATGATACAACCTATTTCTCAAAATACTTTTACTACACATTTCATAAAATGTTTAAATATAAAAATATGAAAATTATATTTCTATAATAAATAAATTACTTATAAAAATTATTTTTAACGTACCAAGTTTATTCTTACGCGCTTCGCAGAGTGACTGCAAATTATTCCAAGCGGCGACAACCTCAGCCTCGCGATTTGTAATTTCGCGTGCCTTATCACCTGCATAGCTCGCCTGCAACTTTGCAGATTCTTCTTGAATCTGAGATACCTGACTTTGAAGAGTTGATAAATCTTGAATAAAATTGCCATGCTTGCGCTGAAGAGCGGAAACCGAGCCGGCATCTCTACCAAGTTCATCTGACATAGCATTTTGTTTCTCGAGGATACGTCCAAGTACATCTTTACAGTCATGGAAAAATTTGTGAAGTTCACGACTAGCGGCAAGCATCTGGGTACGTGTCTCGATCAACTCTAATAAGTCTTGCCAAACCTATAATTATTAAAATTATATCTAATAATTTATATTGTTAAATAATTTAAATGCATATTATATACAAAGTATATTTACAAATCAAATCAATTCTCAGTTAAGAAATAAAAAATTTTCATCAATATATTATAATCATAATAAAAATTCTATTACTTAATACCTCGTTTAGTCCATCTTTCCATTCTGCTATAGTAGCGGCGTCAGAATGGCCAGTATTAATGAGTGAGTCAGCAATACCATTTACAGCAGCCACTCTTTCGGATCCTATGGCCTCTGTATCGCGAGCAAATTCTTTGAATCTCTCCCATAATAGAGTTACGTGGTCATAATCTTGACCTAGCTCGTGACTACCTGCAACAACTTCACGCTCACCAATCCACTGTTCTAAATCATCCACTTCACGATTCAACATGAATAATTGAAGTGCTTCGTCTAATTTTGCTCGGCGCTCACCAGCCAAATCTTTCAAACCAGCATATAACTTATCAACCTATAGAGTAATAACTCTTTAAGTGAATGAGTAAAAAATAGTAAAGTAAAAAGTAGAAATTCAAAGTCATTTTACAATAATCTTTTTAAAAATTTATTTAAAAAGAAAATAAATTTAATATTTTGTTGATTAGATTATTTTATATATTATATTTATAACATACCTGAGACTGCTTAACAGCAATTTGATCTGCGAGAGGATGTTGGTCGCTGATAAGTTGTCTTGAAGTTTCGCCAAGTTGTCTGATTGTATCAGCATAATCTTCAACAGCATGTTCTAAACTTTCATGCTTCTTCATTAAATTTTGTGCAGAAATTTCATCTTTACCCCTATCTTCAACCATCATATACAATTCCTGCTCGCTCATCCATGACTCTGCTTCAGTTGCATCAAAGAAATACTGTTGAGCTTTTTCGTTTTGTGCCAAATGTCCGTTCCTTTCATCTACAGCATCCTTTAGTTCTTTCCATTTCTCATTTAATTCCGAAATGAGTCGTTCAAATTCCGGAGTTGCTTCATGACCTTCATTAATAAGCTTTTGACCGTTGTTACAGACAAGATTGATACGTGGTTCGTGATTATCGATTTCCGTGCTTAAAAATTAAAATTAAAATTATATTTTTTTTGAGCATCGTTTGTGATATATTATAAAATCATGGGTGTTATGATATATTATAAATTTATGAATACTATGATATAAATTTATAAAGAAAGAACATAACTTATAAAAAGACAGTAGTTACCTCAATGATTGGTTTTTCTTCTTTAACATATGCACATTGAACAGCGAATTTCCATACTCTTTACTAGTCGCTTGTGGCATTTTTTCTGCAATCCAAAGTTTTTCATCCTCAATATCGCGCCTAAATTGAAAGGCCTCCTTCTTTTTTTCTAAATGACGCTGGCGGTCGATAAGCGGTGCTTTAAGTTGTGCAAAGCGTTGAGCAACCTTTTCCTTTTTGCATTTAATTTCTTCCATTTTATCATCTGGCACAGTGCGCTGAAGATGCTCGGCTTGTTTATCGAGTTCTGTTACCTGACGAGCTTTTACAGCCATTTGAGTCTCAATCATTTGTTGCTTCTGCATAAGAATATTAACAGAAGCTAAATCTGAACCCGTATCTGTGCTCTCGATTTGCTTTTCTAAAAACAATATATTATTAAAATATTAACGTATAATTATATTAATACTAAACTGATTTTGTAATATCGAATAAATTGATTATTTCTAATTATATTAAAATTAACGTCATCATACTACCTAATTCATTCATCCAAGAATCAATGTCGTCACAAGTCTGATGAATGAGAACTTCACGGTTAGCATCAAAAAGTCTCTCGCCTTTGTCATGAGTAGTCGTTTCAAGTTCTTCGAATTGATCAGCAAGTTCAACAACCTTCGGCTGAATGATTTCAGTTAATTCAGGCTTTTGCTGAACCAGCTCATCGGCTGCAGCTTGCAGTTGCTGCAATCTATCTTTGTTGCTGGCGATTTCTGCCTCAAATGCTTGATGTCTCGTCCACTTGCTATGCACGGTTTTAGCACTGCGGTATGTCTCATCTTGAGCAACTATATGCTTCTCCTGTATCCATTCACCCAACTCTTCACAATCTTGCAAAAATAGCTGTAACTGCTGTTGATCGCGCAATTTATCCATGAGCTGCTGGGCTTTTTCGCGATTGGCATTACGACGTTCGTTTATGGATTCTGCTTTACGTTTAATCTTATCGGCAGCAAAGTGACCATCATCAACGAGTCGCGCCGCGAACTGTACAACTGAATTAATCTTTTCATCGTTTGCATCCATAGTCGTCATGAAAGCCTCGTGGCGCTTAATCATATTTTCTGCTTGTTCAAAATTGCTTGGACTTTCATCCTTTACAAGTTGGTGTTCTTGTTGAGATAGAAGAACCTCTGCCTGTCGCGCATCTCGATCAAAGACCTAAACAAAAATTATAGATTCTTTATTTTCTATATAAGCAATAAACATTGATAAAAATTTGAAGAGAAATAAAAAGTTCTTACAGTACAAAATTTCCTTTACTTTGTTTCATCATTAATATAATGGAAAAATTAAATGATTTCAATATTTTATATATATAAAAAAAAAAAAGGATGTTCCACAAAATACATAACTGTATTACTTTTAAAATAGCACGGAAGAAGTTTAAATAATAATATATTTTACTTTATTACTAAATACAATTTTATTGAAATACAACACATCATTAAAAATGATTAAATAGATTCATTTTACAATAGTACTTATTAAATAAAATAACTGCATTAAAAACACTTTACCTGGAAATTGAGTGAATTGGAGAGTAGATTCTGACGATTAGCCCACATCTGATGTAACTCTTCCCAACCCATTTTCAAAGCGTTTAATCTCTCGCGCAAAAACATGTACTGAGTATCACCATCCCCAGCTTCAGTGGTTAGTTTTTCTCCGTATTCCATCATTTTCTGATAATCATCCGTGTAGTTGTCGATCTCTTCCTTAATATTTTGATGTTGAGTTAATAACTTCTCTGCATCGGCCAAGCTGGTCGGTTCGTCTTCACTTGCTACATCGGTTTGTGTTTTTGTCAACCAAGCCTAAAATATAAATTACAATTGCTTGTTATACTTCCGAAAAATAATGCATAAGATTATTATTACCAATACGAATAACAATACGAACTTCGAAATGCTAATTGTATAAATAAATAGATTTTAAAAGATCGCAGTTCATATACTGTAAACAAAATTAATTTACTAAAATTTAAATATTACAAAGTAAACGAACTATCAACTATCTTATTTGAATGTAAAACGTGATTTAATCACAATAGTAAATGACTTATATATGATCCGAATCAAAATTTGATAAAAGAAATTCATGATATACTTAATAGATTGATAAATTCATGAATTACAAATCAAAAAAATTATGTTAACCAAAATTTACCTGGAAATGATCGAGGTCACGCAAGAAGCGATGTAGATCTCCAGCCTCTTCCAATTTAGCATCCCTTTCCTTGAGCATCTGCGTAAGCTGTTCCCAAATTGTATGTATTTGAGTGATCCTCTCCCTGATGACTGCTGCCTCCTCAGGATGATCTTGCTCGATAAGCTGTGCTTCTTTTTCGAGAGCGTCGAGCTTGGCTTGAATTGCCGCCAAGTCACGTTCCATGCCACTAAGCCGACGCTGTAACGTCATAACTCCAGTGAGATCCATTTCAAGACTGTCAGTCTCTTGAAGTATACGTTTTTTATCTTCAATCCAGGAGACGGTCTCTCGACATTCGATATGGAAGGTTTGTACACCATGAGCTGAATTAAGTGCCTCACGTTTCGATTCTGCTTTTTCTCGTAATTCTGCCCACTTTTGATTTAACTCATTTTGACGTTGAACTATTTGCTTAGAGTTTGGATGCTCAACGTGCAATAATTGTCTCGCTGTTTTTTTTTTAATAATTGTAATTATTATATAATATATTGATTGTAAATAATATATAAAGTATTGAAATAATATTATAATTTCATAATTATATAATTTCATTTTGAGATATTACATGTAACTTTTAAATACATTTCTATTTTACAGATTATTCTAAATTATGATAACCTATACGCTAATCTTTTATTCATAAATCATTTAAATAATGAATTGCTGACTAAGTAAAATAATATTTTATCTCTTATTATTGTAAAAGTTATGAAATTAATTTGATTTTTCTTTTAAATAATATCTAGTGAAATTTTCAAATTACATGCATTATTTAATTTACAGAAACAAGCAATTACCTAATTGGTTTACAACGGCAACGCGCGAAGCATTAGCATTCATCTCTTTTTCAAAGCCATCGTATCGATGCTTCATTATTTCTACATCTTCAATATCTTTGGCAGGTACCATTGTATCCAACATCCTGTTCTTTTCACCAATCCATTGTTCTACACCATCGGCTTCACTAAACAACTTATAGAGAGATAGAGCATCTAATAACCTTTGTTTTCTTAATTTAGCTAGTTCCAGAAGTTCCTTGTAGCTGGCATCAATTTTTGCCAACCTATCGACAACCTCTGGAGATTTCGCATCTTGTTCTCCAAGTTGTCCTAAAACAATAATAAGTATCACAATAACATTAATTTCTTACTCCGTTTTATAAGGTTTTTTTGTAATAATATATTAAATTTACATATTGCTTTTTTATATTTATAAGAATATTTCAAATAAAGAAAAATTAATTTATTACCTAATTGCTGATGCAATTGTTCTATTGTTGTAGCATAATTTTTAAGTTCGTCCGTAACGTCTTTATGTTTCTTTAATAAAGATTGCACATTTGCCTCATCTCTTCCAACATCTTCAGAAGTTACTAATTTTCTTGTATCTAACATCCATACATCAATATCGTCAGCATCAGCGAATAATTGATGATAGTCTACTGCTTCTTCAAGCCTCTTTCTCCTAAATGCTGCCAAATCCAATAAATGATTCCACATTGTCAAAATTTCTTGTAGTCTTTCTTGAATTCTATCCGATCCAAAATGTTGTTGACGAACTAATTAATTAAAAAATAAAATAAATTATTTTAAAAAATCTGATTTATTAAATTAAACTATTCTTCTATCTTTTCAAATTATATTTCAAAACGATAGTTTTCTTTTTGAAAGAAAATTAATATTTATTAAAATTATGTTTATTTCAATATTTATTCAATTTTTAAAATAAAAATTAAATTAAACATAACACTCGCTTCTAAAATTATTATTTCAACATTACAATATTAAACATAATTCTGAATAAAATATTAGAATAATATTACGAAAATAATCATTTGAATCTATAATATAATTATAAAAATATTATACGAAAAACTTATCTATTTTTATAATTTGATATTTAATATTAATGAAAAATAAATTTGTACATAAATACCTAATTCATCTCCAACTGATACAACCGACATGAGCTGAGGATCGTGTGACTGTATTTCGTGCTCTAATGCCTTATGCTTCGAGAGCAAGAGATTGATGGTTGTAAGGTCGTGGCCAATGTCACCTGTAGACACAATCTGTTCCTTCTCCTTGATCCAATTCTCTTCATCAGCCATATCCCAATAGAATTGCCACAGTTTACGTGACTCTTCAAGGCGCGCGCGACGCTCGACAGCTAAACGCACTAGTTCCGAATAAGCGTCCTCGAGTTGTTGTACTCGCTCAACGATGATTGTGGGGTCACATGGTCTATAGCCCTCGTCCTGAAATTCGTTTCAATATTTAGTTCGTAACTAGAAATTTTTGTGCTTTCACAAACTTAAAGAAAAACAAAATTTGTAAAAATAATATTAACAAACCAATTAATTATATTTTTTTTATTTTCAATTTGTATAAGGATTAATGGAAATTCTTCAAATACTACATATACTTAAATTAAAATTAGAATTCTTGTATAGTTATTTAATTGTTGAAAAAAACATGCATTGTATTATATTTTAACTAGTTAGAAAAAAATATACCCTAATATTCGTTACGTAAATTATCAAATAATTTATAAAATATAAAGTAATTTTTATTTATTTTTAGAATTATTATTTTTAAGATATTTAATTGATCTTACTTAAATAATGAAAATTTAATTTTTCCAACAGAAATTTTTAACAAAAATTGTTGTAAGCTGTTTTTATAAAATATTAACAATAATTTATTTTTATTTATATTAAGGATAAAAACTAATTAATATTACCTGTTCAAGAAATCTTTGACTCTGTTGAACTACCGCCTTCACTCTTTCACCCAACACATTGATGTCTGCCTCTACCAACGAGTGCTTCTGTAATAAATCTTCCACACCCATGAGGTGTTTACCATAGTCGTCGGTCAACAATCTCAACTTAATTTCTTCCATACTATCCAAAATGTATAACATCTCCTGGAAATTTTGTTGTAATTGAAGTGATAATTCTAATCGTGATCTGCGGGCACGTAAAAGTTCGAGTAAATAGTTCCAAAGACGTAGAACATTGTCTTTGCGCGCATTTATGCGTTCAATATCATGATAATTCTCGGCTTCGAGTTCCTGAGAAACGGCCATAACAGCCTGCACACGTTCTTCGTATGCAAAGATATCGGTTTCGATAGCTTCATGTTTCTTTGCAGCAGCTTCAACAGCTGCTAAGTCAAATCCAAAGTTATCCTGATAATCAAATTATTAAAAAATTACAAGATAATTGATGTTATTACAAAATACTATGTTTATTAGACTATTATTCTCTAAAGATTTGAAAGTACACAAAAATAAAACTATTTTAATTAAATATATTGTAATGGTTCAATTTCATTAAGTAATATGTATGTGTGTGTTTGTGTGTGTGTGTGTGTGTGTGTGTGTGTGTGTGTGTGTGAATTCAGCTTTTTTTATACGAACGTCCACGAAATTTTTTTTAATTCTATTATACAAATCTTCTTTGAAAACTTTTGTTATTTATTCTTTATGCTAAGTGCTTAGTATCCTAATATTTACATTTGTATCTCATAGCATTTAAAAAGATATACATAACCAGTATATTAATTTCAAATTAATAACTTTGTTAATTAATAATTTAGAAATAAATCGTATTCTTAGTATTATTTTAAATAATAAAATTAAAAGATGAAAAGCATACTTGTGAAACGAGTCGTTGGTTTTCTGATAACCAGGTTTCTCTCATGCTGGCTTTCCTATTAAATCTAGCTGCTAGTTGATCAAGCTTTTCCTGTCTAATTAACTCCTCTCTAAGAGCTAGTTCCCTTTCGTGTTCAGCTTTTTCAAGTCTTTCCCAAGCCTTGTTGATATCAGATATCATCTTGCCTTCTTTAGGAGTGTAAGGTTTTTGATTGTTGGCGCGCATCTTAGATTGTAGTGTGAATAATAACACCTCCAGGTTACCCTTTTCTACAAACTTGGGTGGCTTTTCAACAGTACGATAATTTGAAAATTGGGAGAGTTGAGATTGAACGCCCAAAAGAGAATTAGCAAATTGCCGATCACCCAGGGCAGTTATTGTTGATTCGATCCACTTCAGTAAATCGCTCGTTAAGCTTTCATACTCACGGATCATACGATCATTTTCCATCGCAATACCAACAACTTTACCTATTCTCTTACCTGTAATAAAAAATGACTTCTTTTAGATTGAAATAACATCTTTGTAAAAAATAATTCCTAATTTAATTTAATGAATTCCAATACTGTTTGTGTGACATTGATTGACTTACCTTGCACGGTTTCTTGTTTCATTTTCGAGAAGTAATGGTAGTAAGTTACAACATACGTTATGATGGATTTTTCATCAGGATGATCCACAAAAATATCTTCAGCATCCAATAATTTAGTTAATCCTAACTTATCTTCAGCCACATTAAAAGCATTATTCAAATTATAAATAGCATTAGACTTAGATAATTTATCAAATTGTATAAGATCTGGCCTATGCTTGTGTATAATTGCATTGAAAGCCAGTCCATCTCTCCAAGAAGTCGTGAAATTCCTTACATTAACATTGTGATAACCAGCAGTTTTCATCTGACACCAAAGTAATAGTGCATCTTTAGCACTCTTCGTCTCCTGATTATCCGTTTCCTCAATAGTAATATCTTGAATCTGGAAGCGCAGGATTATCGTCCAGATAAGACCTAAGGTTAATCGTGGATTTCCATCCACAATGTCATGTGAGCCCATATTTTCCAAATGGACTCGTTGCTCACGTAAGAAGTACAAAGCCTTGTCGACATTTTCCAAACAGTGAATGCGCATTTTACCCTTAGTAGGCCGGGGCAATCGTTCGCCAGATAATATTTCGAGAAGTTTCGTCAGCATCTTACCATCGCGTAGATCAACGTAAAGATCACCGATGCGTGCTGAGCAACGTACCAAGTGAGAATTTACCCATTTTTGAAAAGTTTTCTTCTGTACCAACTCACGTTCACCTATAACAAATTTAAAAATTTAAATTTTATTAATATATAGGTTTATTAATTTTTCATACAAATATTTAGTAATTTAAAATTTATTATTTCAACTATAAATTTAATAATCAATTACGAGAATAAGCAGTTAGGAAATCAGAAAAATTTTAATTAATAAAAATAACAAAAATATCATTTTAAATGCAATGAAACAAAAAATTCATATTTCCATAAAATTTTAAACATATTTGTTTATCTTAATGAAATTATGACCGTTATTGTTGATTATACATGAAACATTTAAATAATCTTTATTAATTTCTAAATATCAAACTTATAACATTAAAAATTTTGAAAATAATGTGATAAAAATGAAATGATATTCGAAGTACGATATTAAATACCAAAAATAACATAAAATGTTCATTAATTCCAATCATCTTCATTAATAATAAATTATAAATAAATGAACATATTTTAATTTAATTATATATGATACAAATTTTATAAAAATTAAACATTTCATTAGAAAAATAATAAGGAAATAATTATATTATACAACATTATTGTGAAAAAAATTCTTTAAAATATTATAATTTTATATTTAATTTAATGTAAACAAATATTATATAATATACATAATTAGCAAATATATTATAAAAATAAAATAAATTAATAGTTGATCTCCAAAATAATTATAATAAAATCATTCAATCAGAATATAATATGTATGTGTTGTATAAATATTGCATAAGAAGGCGTCGGCTGGTAAATACGCGCATTCGCTCACGTATTTATACAAATGGTCATTTATATATAGGAATTAGAATCGAAAAACATCATACATAAAAGAGATACAATACCAAAGTTCGTCTTAAAAGAAATCAAGGAAATGTCACAAAAATTTTTTGAATTTCGTATTCAATGATTAGAGGTATTAAAACTTATTAATATTACTAACTTCGTAAGAAAACTTATTTTCCGTAAATAAATAATTTCTCATTATTAAAATTTATGTGCTCCTTTAGTTAAAAATTATATTTAGTAACTATGAAATTTTAATATTTTTATTTTTAGATATTACGTATTGATTTTACATCACATATAATTCAAGAAAAAACTTGAAAAGTATAATCTGTTTATTAGAATGATTCATTCATTTCATTCAAATATAAAATTAAGGTGACCAAACATTCTTTCTTTTTAAGATTAAATAGTTAAATTTTCTACAAATTGAATGAAAAGATTGTATACTAATAACATAAAAAAATTATTCTTATAGATAATTATGAATTAATATAACTATTGACTAATATAATAAATAAAATTATTTCAAATATCAAATCAGTCGAAGCTTCCAATGACATTCTATAATCAACTAATAGCTGAATAACTACCTCACAAGCCTATAAAAACATACCAACATAGCTATTTACCGCTCCGTTCAATATGTAATTTATAAAACAAAAGTATCCTAAATAACTAAGCTATTGATTCCAAAAATAAAAAACAACCGACCTGCGAGAGCCTTGATGCGCGATCGTTCAAAGAGCCTTGAGCTGGAGTTGCCCCCATCATATTCATACTCATCGACGATCTCTTGTTGGAGCGTCGGGTCCCAACCCGTACGTTGCACCGAGATGTCGGTTGTCATTTTGCTGACGTTGCAATTGCTGCCGACGCCACCGCCTTAGAAGTCAACGATTAAACCGTCTCAATCTTTAAGGGCACTCCTAAAATCATAAAATTTTCGGAACATTAATGTTAACAATATTTGTTGTGTTAATTTTTTTTTTTTTTTTTATTTAAAATGAATGTTACATGTACATAAATATAATAGTTTATGCCTATTAATACGAACGTCTGTGTTCAACAATAAATGAGATAAGAAATATCTTCTAATGGTTAAAAAGATTTCTATTAATTCATAATGAATATTCTCTATAATTAAGATTAAAGGTGAAAATGATATTTCATGAATTATTATTTTAATAGGATTATAAAAGAATTATTTTATTATTAACATATTGCATAAAATATAATACTCGAGTGTTATTCTAGATATCATATATTGACAAAGAATTTAGATAAACATTCTTGACTACTAAATTATTAAATAAATCTAAGATATAAGATGATAATGTAACCTTAATTTTTATTTCGATTATTGAACTTAATCGATATATTGAAATTAATTAAAGATTAACAAACGAAATACTTAAATTTTATATAATTGAAATACAGCATTTTTTGTATATATAAAAAATGCTTTGATATACATAAAACTTATTATTAATTGTATAATAAATCTATAAGTAAATAAATAAAATGTAAAAAATTTATTTCTTATATAAATATATAAATATAAAAATATAATATTTAAATAATATGTAAGTAATATATAAATGAATAATAATATAAATATATAAATATATAAATATATATTATTTAAATTTTAGATACATTTTCAAGTAGTAGCCTATGTATGAAATTTTAAATTATCTTGTCAATTTACTGTGCAATAAACATAGTATAACGTGCAATAATCGTATGCTATCAAAGCTCCTCGATTACGTCACGTAGACAGGGTGATGTCACATTTATATGTATTCGCATTCGAATAATAGGGGTCGAGCTGAAATACACAAATAATGAAACACAAAAAATTTTTTTAAATATGTTTTTAAACTACCTACAAGTATTAATAATTATTGTCCAATTTTTAATCATTCTTAATATGATAGTAATAGACATTAATCGAATATTTTGCGTAACTAGTATTTATATGTTTCATCAGTATTAATTTTTCTGCAAAATTTTTATTATAATTTGAGATATTGAAAAGTATAGATAAATGCAATAATTTACAATTAAAAGAAATGATAAATAAATTAAGAAATTGATATATTATCTACTTGATTTAGTATATTAGTTTATCAATTAAAATGCTCTTAATTATATTTGTATTACTACATAATTTAGTTTATTAATACAAAGGGATATCATGTAAGATCTACAGTAAGTAAATCTGAATTGTGGCTCAGTAATTAATAAAATGTACTAATCATTTAAGTCGTCAAGCTAATATTCTTAAAGTTAGTATGAATGTTAGTTGTGCTTCATAAATAGATAAAATATAAAAGTTTTGTAAAATAGATGTCATGCATAAATTGCTTAAAACATTAACATATAAAATGTTCTGTAGTATTATATGCTATCTTTGCTGTAATTATATACATTTTATTCTACTTTTATTCATCTTAATTGGTTTTTATCAGAATTTGACCTAATAATCATGTCTAATTTTATCTGAGTTTGAATAATTATTATTAATTGATTTATAAATTAAACGTAAGTTTTAATTTGCAATATGCTTTATACCTTTACAATAATACAGATGAAAAATATATAAATGATACTCGAATAATTTACTTTTCATAAAAAGGATTTCAATATCTTCTGGGAGTTATTTTAAAATACTATATACTACATTTCTTAACACTTTGATAACATAAAAAAAAATTTTGTATAGAACATTGTCACGGTAGGAAAAGTAGTACGACTGTATTTCGAATAATTGCATAGAACGACCATTTTATGTTATATACAATAAAGGATAGAAATGCAAGAATTAGATGCAACAGTAATAGCACTGGCGGGTATCAAACATAGGGAAGCCAGTCACATTCCTACATCAACTACGGTCTTTTTAGCATTCAATTTCGTATTCGCATATCACACACGTGCATATGAAAATATATAAGTATACATGTGAGCCAATTGGCTTTTATAATGGCCTGATATTTGACAAGTGTATAGGCTTAAAAATTTTGTGTCACGAATTATTTCTTAGCAAATTATTTATTTTCCTCTCAACATAAAAATTAAGACATTTAAGGTGAAACAGTATGATCATTGTAACATTTGAAAATTCTACAAATATTGAGTTTCTCTTTTTTAATATGTCTGAAAATTATTATTTGGATAGGCTTGAGTAATTATCAACATTATAAAAATTCGTTAAAAAATACACATTCGTTAACAAATGAATTAACAATATAATTTTTTAGTATTTTCGTGTGACTTACTTTACAAAAATAATATAATATATGTAGAAACTATTATTATTTATTATTTATTAGTTAAATATACTATGTATAATATGCTTGTAATATGTTTTATAGGGAATATGTTTTTAAAAGGAATTTTAGTTTCATTGAAAATAGTGCACAACAATTTTAAATTTTAAACAAATAGGTTTTTCAATATCTTATTCTAGCTAAAATATAGAGGACAGAAATTGTTTAGATTAATAGATAAATTTGTATAGTTTCAAAATGAATACATAAATAAATAAATTTTAAATTTATATATTTTTTTTTTTAATTTTGCCATAAATTTATTAATCCCGCGTTTTAAATATGTTAGTGCTGATTTCAATGTGGTCACTGTACAAACTTAACTTAATCTGTGTATGAATTAAAATGTAATGTTTCGACTTTTATTGAACTAATTACCACACTTTTTGTTCAATTACATCACAATCATAATTAAACTATTACGAAATTTAATAAATCGCTTCAATTTTTATAATACTATAGATTTTATAATTCGTTGAATAAAGATAATTTACATTACTAATTGAGAAAAGTTATTGATGGTATTGTTACATTAAAAAATTAATATTTTTATATTCTAAAATATAATGAATGCTATCGTATATGATAAACAATTAGTTTAACATAGCTAATTTTACACAGTATGTATTTGCTTTATATTTTAAATATTTAAAAAAAAAAAATTTTAATCCTCTTTTTTCCGCGTTTCTTCATCTATTTAAAAATCAATATATCACACTTTCCTTACATTATAATGTATATCACAAAATTATCTAATAACATTTTAAGGCTATACCAAAGACTTAATACTAAATTAAGTTGAATTACGAAAATTACAAAAATTTATTTAATATATATATATTAAAATTTAATTTTAAATAATGTATGATAAATAGGATAAATATATGAGATAATTTCTATATAGATAAATACAAATAAATTATGATGTAAACCAGTATAAATAACCATTGACTAAATTGATGAGTGAACAACAATTATTTTAAAAGTAACAAGGTCGAATAGTAAATATTGGTCACTTTTGTTAAATTATATTACAATATCATCAAAATCGATACCTAATACTATAGTTACATTACCGTTTTTTAAAATGTTCGTTGTTAATAATAATATGAATGAAAATTCGTTTTTCTTAAAATCTGATTGTTGCAATTATATCTTTAATACACGAATTACAAATTTACAAATAAAAAATATTAAAGATATTAAAAAAGCATTATTTTCGTATTTACGTATAGAAGTAAGAAAATTAATGAAATTTAAAGCTCACAGGCATAATCTAGAAAGTTTGTATGTCTGAGGTATGACCTTCGCCTTCTGTTCAGTGATCTTTCATGAATGATATGCCGTTGAGTTAATGTCGTACACGGCTCATCAATTATCATGCAATATTATGATGACAAAAGAAACGGTAAAATCTACACGAATAAACTGTACAGGTGGTAACGAAATGACATAGAAACGATGTACTTGCACAAGTATTTGACCATACCTATATACGGAGCATGTACATAAATGGTTACCTTCATGTGCGTTACTTGTAGAACAAGTAGACGAAACTGAGAGACTATTACGTGCACGTGAATATATGCATAGGTAGTATTTAATCGAAGAGGTGATATCACAAATTAACAACTTCTAAAATCTGATTTTTATTCAAATGATATATAATTAAAATTTTGTCTTTAATCTGGCTATAATCTATTCTGCCTTTATTAAGTAAAATAAAAGTTGTGTTACACGTAAAATTACGTTATATCGTAGTTAAAATAATATAAAATATAACTAACATATTGATTTTAATAATTTGAAATATATAAATGGCGAATCTTAGTGTATAAAAGTAACTTCAACCTAAACATCATTCGAAAAAGTCATTATTATGACATTATATTTAACAAAACTTATTACACTATGTAAATTTATAAAGTTACTACATATAAGAAATCTTTAATACATTGTAAAATACGTTAATATACAACGTTTAATTACAAAAACAAATGTTAAATTCATATAGTTATTAATAATTGATTTAATAATTATGCAATATTTAATAGAAATAAAAATTCAGTTTTCATAATGTTTTTATTACATTAAAGCAAAAGGATAAGTAAATGAATTACATTGTATATTTCGCTTATAGTATAAATATTTTATAAATCTATTCAAATATAATTTAAAATAATACCATTTCACACAAACGGACTTCTTTAAAAATCTTATTGTGTTATATATTAAAATAGTTTTTAATGTTTTTTTTATAACTTTTGAAATATTTGCAATACAATTTATATTACACTCAATGCACATTTATAATATGGCTTAAAAATTTTTAAACGCAAATAAGTATTAGGGCACAAAAAATTATTACAAATCAACAACTATATCATGATCGTAAAGAACTATACTGCTAATGATGGAATTGACACAATAGCACACAAAACAGATCTGTAAAACAATGCTTCGAAGATATTACCGAATGATTGGATTGCAGAAGAGATGTCTATACACGGGTATGTGTGTATATTCATGCACATCTTCGTAAGAAAGGTACATTAGAGGCAATGATGGCACCCACGATATCAACCTCGG